GGACTCTGCTGCCGGAGATCTGGACAGTGTTACCCGGAGACAGGGACATTCGCAGGGCTGCAAATGCAGCCAAAAATAAATAACAGGCTGCCCGTCACCCTCGCGTGTGGGAGAAGTTACGTGGGAACCTTTTGTAAAAAGGACATTTCAGGAATTAGTCTATTCAAGGAGGACGAGGGGGGGGACGGCGGGGAGGGGGGGGAAGAAAACAACATTTTGGGAGCAGAAACCACCCTCCCAGACACGATGGTGGTGAAGGTCGCACCCGAAGGTGAAGTGGATTTAGGGTGAATAATAGAGCATTTACTAATCACATGCAAATATTAGGTGACCGTCGGGTAACTGAGAGGCGGGAAAGAGGGAAATTAAGGGGTATAGACAGACCACGTATTTCTATTTTATTTCCTTTGCCTCCTCTGAAATTATGACTGAAGCCATAAACCCTTACACCAATTAAATGGACCATTATAAATATATACATACACACGCGCGCGCCATCAGAACGTTTCCTCTACGTAAAATGAAATATATTGAATATTTTTAAAAAAATAATCCGGTTAATCTTCCCCTGTAAGTACTGCCTCTTACAAATTTGCACGGCTATTTCCTTAATGTAATTGACTTGATCTAATATGCAGAATTAAATATTAAAGAGGAAGAAAGCTGTTAATAATTGATACTGTTAATCCTCCTACCCATCCTTTAATGGCAATGGAGGGTTCTGCTTCATAACAGATTTTTTATTCGGTTCGGTTTTATTTTTTGGTCATGTCTTGGATCGTTAAAATGTAAGATAATTTAAACGCGAACGTTGCTTTATCTACTCACTGTACACAAATCCCTCAACAGGAAAGCGAATGGGAAGAGGTTCTGGCACATTTTTTCTTTTAAATCCAGCAAATAAATTAAGAGATCCCTGCGCCATACACAGGGCGGAGATTCATTATTGCGAAATACTTTCAAAAATTGAAAGAGTCAGGGAAATTGGTGGGAGTACTTTCGGCAAAACAGCTCCGTCTTCCAGCCCTGGCAGACTCTCAACATCAGCCCAAATTAAACTATTATTTAAAACAAAATACGCGTCGTAACCACATGCCATAGAAACCACACAGCATCCTCTTCGCGCGGGTCCCTGCACTTACTTATAACTTAATAACATTTTCTTGGACAAGATTTTTATATATTCAATTTCAGGGACATTGAGCACAGAACCTGGGTATTTAATTCTCTCAAATCATTCACCTCACGGTTGCAGTTTGTTCTGGATCTCTGCCCAGTACAATAGAACAGGAGTTTCTTTTTGTGTGTGTGTGAGTGTGTGTGTGCCCGTGCGTCTGTGTGCAAGTCAAATGACTGGGGGGTGGTGGTGGCAAAAAAGTCGCCGTAACATCCTGCACACGAAGGGGAGGAAATCATGAGGGGCGAGAATATACTGTATTTTTGATCGTACGGTTGCAATGGTTTTAATCTTTGTTGCTGTTTCACGTTGAGGGGGGGGAAAAAAATAAAAATGACCGTGTCAGTGCGTCCTGCACAGGCTCGGAGGAGTTACATCCTCGGCGGGGGCTGCTCCTCTGCCAGTTTGGAAAACTTCGGCTTTCACTGCAAAATATTTGCCGTGGGGGTGAAGCCAAGTCTCTCCCTTCGCCTCCTGCTCGAGCCTGAGCCCCGGTTTACCTTTCAGATGGAAACCAGGTACCCACCGGCTCGGCACCAGGGGAAGATACTGGTTCTTTCTTACTCAAAAGCCATTGCACTACTCTTATTATCACCATTATTATAATAATCACCATCATAATTATTATTAATAGTATTATTAATAGCATTATTGATAGTTTTATTAGATATTTTCAAGGCGAATGATTTGTTTATTTCTGTATTTCAGGGAAAAAAAATAAAAACAACAAGCCAGCTCGCGGAAAAAGCACATGCTGAAGTTTAACTGTTTCCCCAGTCTGGCTACATTACAAATAAAAGCTAATTAAGTTGGAAGCGCACCCCCCCCCTTCATTATTTTTTTTTTTTTTAGCTAGGAAGGAGCGTGGCTGTGAAATATTCATACCCTGAACCGTTGCATTTAATAAACAAGCAATTAAAAAAAAAAAAACCACAAATAAACAAACAAACGCGAGGAATAATTAAAAAGACACCACCGCTACGAAGCCGAGGGGAGGTGAGGAGGGGAACGAGCCCGTCCCCGCGTCCGCCGGGGCATTTTTTTTTTTTTAGCTAGGAAGGAGCGTGGCTGTGAAATATTCATACCCTGAACCGTTGCATTTAATAAACAAGCAATTAAAAAAAAAAAAACCACAAATAAACAAACAAACGCGAGGAATAATTAAAAAGACACCACCGCTACGAAGCCGAGGGGAGGTGAGGAGGGGAACGAGCCCGTCCCCGCGTCCGCCGGGGCACACCGGAGCGGCGGGCAC